AAAATTCATTTTATTGTCACGATTATGCCCGGAAGATGCGTTAATTTGGCATTCGAATTTCCTAAGCAAAATGCTGGAGCAGTAATTTGAAATACAGTTTCTGCTACTTCTCCATCTTAGGTATGTGAAAACTTACCTCCTGCCAGATAAGACAAAACAGAGCAAACGTAAAACTAAGGTGAAGAAGAACACCACCAATCCTGTGTTTAACGAGTCGTTGGTATACAACATCACAAAGTCGGATTTGGCCTATCGAACTCTTCAGCTCTCCCTGTGGCACCATCGTCACATGAAGGCAAACCTCTTCCTGGGCGAAGTGCTCGTTCCTTTGGCCGACTATAGATTCAGCTCTACGCAAATCTGGAGGGCTCTGCAGAACAGAGTAAGCCCAACAGTTGTCCTCACTTCCCATGATAATAGTGTCAAGTTTATTCAGTGACCCGACTAGTTAATAAATATGCAGTCTCGAGCTAAAGTCACCCAAGATTGCCGATCTAAATTGTTCATTCGAGTCCTTTGTGCAACCGTTGTCGATTTAATTATTCTCAGCTGCCTCTCATCTTGTTGCAAGTGGGTTGTTTGTGATTAAACTGCTAAAATTGGATGTATGAGGCGTTTAAGCCTGAGAAGAACGATACACCTCAGTCACCAGTTAGCATCTGTAGCGGTCAGCCTGGTAGGACACATGCTGGTCGAGCCGTGGAGGAGGAAGTTTTCTTCTGTTATTTTGGTATCACATGTTAATAATCGTTTGCCATACAAATATAAGGAAGTGAGTTGACCGGAGTCTTTTGATGGCTTTCGATTGCTAACTGGATTGTGAATGCTTCAAGGTGGCAACTTGTCTAAACAAGCTCTCCAAACTTAATTGGTCTGGTTGTTCTCAAATTTAGAGTGATAAACGTTTGAAAGCTCTGCTTAATCCATCTTGCCAATCATCCGACACTTTCAATGCGTCCCACCAAAGCTACGGAGAACAACCGGCCATCCCATCTAAGGTGTTTCTCAGGTGAATAATATCCCACCAAGCCACCCTTCTAGTTTGGCCTCGAACAGCCTCATTGGGACACGGTGTAATGCAATCGGGTCTTGTTAGAGTGGGAATGGATACAAGTTCCACATTTTGGCCAGTGGACTCGCATCGCTCCTCGTGACTTCTCTAAAGATGAAAAAAGTCATAGTCTCTAACAAAAGAGGAATTAGAAATGCATGGAAGGGCCTGGCAATATTGGCGTGGTCTGGAGGCCATTCTTGCACCGCAGCACTTAGTGGTCCGACATCCGACGCCACAGCTAA